TATGTTTCTTTCCCGTTTTGTTCCACATTTTCTCCTAGTTTCCTGTCTTTTTAATAACTTTTTGTTTTCTTGGTGTATGATGTTCTACTTATTTAATTTTCTTAATATAAAATTCACATATCATGCACTTCCCTCGTTAATTCTCTTTCCAAAAGAGTTTTATATACATCATCACAATCAATTCTAGCTCTCCCTCCCCTCTCTCACATTCATTATTTGCTTCCCAAGTCACCTCACCCTCCCCTCTCCCATCCCCTTTAAAGCATTGCACCAGTGATTGTCTCGGTGCAGCCACTCCTGTGCTTCATAAACTGGGAAACCTAACAGAAGCCATAAAAAGCAAAACCAAAATGAGACAGGAATAATAGTTATTATAACATAAAGATAAAAATAAAGAGTAAGAAAGAAAAGACCACCAGCAATACTTTCTAAAAATGCAGAATGGAAGTTTCTGTCATGGAACACGCATGAGATATTTAAACCTAGAGCAAATTCAGGGTGGGTCGAGAGGGAGATCATCTGACCAAGTATCCATAATTCCATCCACCATAATCAAGTTTACAATAATCTCAGTCTGATAGCAAAGCTGTTCACAACCCTTGACTGTGTCAGAGGGGATCTGCCAGAGGCTTAATCTGACTAGTTAGTCTGCAGATGGATTTTGGGCTCCCACTGTCCTCAATAGCCTCCCACAAACCGGGTGTTCACAATTTACTCTGATACTTTCCCTTTATCGTATTTGGAGTTTGTTATCGTCATCTTTGGATCATACAGGCTGATATGCTTCTTCCATGTGGGTTTAGTTGATGCCTCACTTAGATGGCTGAGGTGTTTAAGACCTCGGACACTATTCCACTTGATAATTCGGGCACCATCTGCTTTCTTCACCACACTTTGCTGTCGCACACTTATCTTCAGTGATCTCTTCATAAAGGTGAGTATAGACAGGGCTATGTTATAAGAACTAACCTGTCTTGGATTAGGGCTAGAATTAAGTGAGATCACAGAATCCATCTCCTTGTCCAGGGGTTATGAATGACTTGGGTTTACTTTAGTAGTAATATCATTTTATGACAACCAAACAAAAACAAAACATAAAACAACAAAAATAAACAAAAAAGAAAAACATTGTCATTCCCCTGGGGTATAAGCGATTGCATTGATAACATCAATAACTTCATGTATGGTGTTCTTGATGTCATGCCCCAACTCTTCTGGTCATTCGTGTTCAGTGTTTCAGAGCTGTTCTTGAAACGGTCTCTAAATTTAGGTGAGATATGCTCAAGGTGATATTTTGGCTCCAGTGGACTTATAGTTTTTTTCAGCTTCTAACTGAACTTAACATATGAACAATTAATGTTTTTTTCCACTTGGCCCACAGATAGAGTCAATTTGATTTCTGTAATCCATATGGTGAGGTTCATGTGTATTGATGCATGCTGGTAATTGTTGAGAAAAGGCATTTGTAATGAAGTCATTGGTCTTGCAAAATTCTCTCATGTGATCTCCAACTGTGTTTCTATCACCCAGGCCGTATTTTCTAACTACTCTTTATTCCCAACTTTCACATTCCAATTACCAGTAATTATCAGCGCATCTTGATTACATTAAAAAAAATCACTTTCAGACTGAAAAAGCCAATAGAGTTCTTCAACTTCTTTATCACTGGCTAGAGTAGTTGGTGAGAAAATTTGAGTAATGCTTGCAATACTTCCTTGTTGTTGTGTAGGTAATAGCTTGTCTCATACAGCATTGTAGTTCAAGATGGTCTTGAAATGTTCTTTTTGATGATGAATGTAATGCCATTCCTCTTGAATTTGTCATTCTTGGCACAGTAAACCATACGATTGTTTGCTTCAAAATGGTCAATCCTAATCCATTTCAGGTCACTAATGCCTAGGATATCAATGTGTATGCACTCCATTTCATTTCTGACAACTTTCAATTTTCCTGGTTTCACACTTTGTGTATTCCATATTCTGATAACTACTAAATGTTCATAGTTGTTTCTTCTCAGTTCCAGCATTAATTCACTTTCTGACACAATCTGTCTGATGAGAGCAAGGCTGTTCATATGCCTGGACAATTGTCTGAAAAAATTCAATGGGGCTTAATCCCTATGGGGACTCTGCAAATATCTTTTGGATTTTCACTGTTATCCACAGCCTCCTGCAAACCAGGTATTTAGAATTTAAGCACTAATACAATTCCCTCCTCTGATCTTGGATTTTATTATTTATAAGCCTTGGATAACACAGGTGGGTGTGCTTCTTTTGTATGGGCTTAGCTGACACCTCACTTGGATGGCAGCTTGTTTTAAGACAAGCCTTCAAGACCCCAGATGCGATTCTTTCTGATAGCCAGGCAGCATCCACTTTCTTCACCATGTTTTACTACAGTGATTCCTTCATTAGGTTAAGTCTCAAGCAGGATGCTGGCCAATATTTTACAGAAGTAAACTACCTGGTCCTTCCTTTGAGTCTGCCCTAGCCTGGAAGCTCTGCTGAAATCTGTCCACTAGGAAAGTGTAAGTGAAGGGAAATGTCGGCTCTCTCATGACTTGGTCCTATATTTTGGGGGTAACAAAGGTGGGATGCCTCTTATAGCCAGCCTGCTCTATCCCTGGCTGCCTCTCTCGTTTTCCATCAACCCTGAACTACACACAGTAGCAACCACCTTGAAACCTCTATTTCCAACACTAACAGAAAGAGCCTTCTAGCCCCCTGTCATTATTTTTGTGGCCACCTGTGAGATTGCCCTAAATACATGTGAATCAAAATGGCACTATTATTTTATGGACATGGCCCAATCCTGATTTGAAGGCACTTCCAAAAACATATTTGTCTAACTGCCACCCTTTGTTTTGGTCATGAAACTACAAAAATGTGATGATCGCTCTGAGTCCCTTCTCAGTATGTATGAGTCATCCTGTACACACCTCCCCCAGGTTTTTCTGAGATGTTCCAAGAAACTGGAATCCTAACATTCAGTGACCAGATACTCTGGGTCAGGCACAGGGCTAGGAGCTGGGAATGCAGCAGCGAAGAAATCCAGCACTGGTCACTGCCTCTTGGGCTCTAAGCTATATGTAGCAGTAAATGTTATGGATAAAACAGGAAAGGAAGAAATACGGCAGTGATGGGTGTAGGGCATGGAATATACATGTGTTTGCGACATTGGTGTCCATTCTAAATGAAATGGAGAGCCAGCCTTGTGGGAAGTTCATCTCAGCAGATGGAATAGTCAGTGCAAAGATTTTGAGGCAAGAGTGAACTGGGTGTGCTTGTGAACAGCAGGAGGTTTGGCCAGAAGGCCCTGAGAAGAGGCTCTCCTGGAATGTTCTGAGTCAAATGAGGAACTCACGCAGCATTTTGAACTGAGGTCAAGGAATAGCCTTGGGTAAGGACAGGGAAAGGAGTAAAAAGAATGACCCATTAGCCAGCGACTGGAGGGAGATATTGGCAGCTGGGTAGGACTGAGCATAGAGATGGAGGACAAAGAGATTGAGATCCTGGGTGCATTTTGAAACTATGTTGCTTTTAGAGGTCTCCCCACATGGCAACCACCTGTACAACAGAACGAAAACCTTGTCTAGCCCTGCATCATCTCCAGGGATGGCCTACTGGATCATTGTGATCAATACAATTTTCGGTGACTAATTCTGTTTTGGAAGTTGATCACCGGGCCTTTCTTTCTAGTCCATCTTAGTCTGGAAGCTCTGCTGAAACCTGCTTAGCATCCTAGCAACACACAAGCACCCACTGCCAGATGAGTGGTGGCTGTGTGTGAGGTGCCTTGGCAGTGAATGGAATCCTGGTCTCTGGCATGGAAGGCAAAAATGTACTGAGCCACCTGGTTGTTTGGATATGGAGACTACAGTTTGTTTGCTGAACTGCTGAACTAGACGTGGGACATAAGTGAAAGAGATGCATCAATGACCATTCTAGAGTGTTCGGGCCTTGGCAAGTTGGAGGATGGAGCTGTAGTGAGAGAGGGGGTAGAGTGTTAGAGAGGTGGGAGGAGGGGACCAGGAGTTCAGTTCTGGCCAGCAGGGTTTGAGGTGCACATCCAATGGTGGTACCAGGTCGGCAGGTGGTGATCTGCCAGACACACAATCACAAGCCCACAGTTTTTTGACAAGATAAGGACCCAGAGGTTAAGTCACAGAACATGTTCTGCTCTGCTTTGTTCACTCTCACCATGGGGGCTCCATCTCCCACAACAGGCTGGACTAGGCAGGGCTTGGCCGAGGCGGTTGCTTGCCAGCAGAGCCTGCTGAGTGGTGCAAGTCCGCAAGCCCAGGCTACTGAGCAGCTCTGCACCCGATTTTCAGCTGGGCTGGAGCCACTCCTCTCACAGGGAACTTCTGCAAAGTCTCTGAAAGGAGCCAGTGCCCAGCCAGCCAGTTGCAACTATGCAGCCCACCCACTAAAGGACTTCTCTAGCTTCCTGGGGGGGATTCCTGCTTTCCTAGCACAGAGGATATGGTCCTGTGCTGTACGTGAGCAGAGCAGGGAAGGAGGGGCAGTCCTTTACTTGTGGTCAGCGCCTCTGGCAAGTGAGAGCAGATGTGATGGGGACAGGCATCTGTCTACTCCTAGGCGCAGGCTCTGAGGCTGCTCCCAGCGCTGCCACTGTTGGCCCTGACTGAGAGTCCAGCGCCCCGGGGGAAGTGGAGTGCAGGAGAGCTGGGGAAAGGGACAGGGGCGTTGGCAGGCCCCTGCAATCCGCAGGAAACCTAAGGTCCAGCAAAAGCCTCGGGTAGGGAGCCCGAGCTGATGATCCGCGCAGATGTCCCCGTCCTCTCCAGCTCAGCCGGCCCTAAGCCTGCAGGGCAGGAGGCTACACACACTGGCGGGCGGGGCGGCTAGTTCGGGGCCCGGGCGGGGGCGCGGGCGGGGGCAGGGCGGGGAGTGGGCGGGGCACTCGCCGGCCACCTGAGAGCTCCTTTCCCGCCGCCACCTCCACTGACACAGCCAGTGCGCTTGGCCCTCCTGGCTGGAGCCCGTGCGAGTGGAAGCGCCCAGGCACAGCGAGGCCAGCCAGCGCAGCCAGGAGCAGGTGAGCGTCCCAGGGGCCTGACGGGCCGCACCGCCCTCGTTAGGGTGGGGCTCTACTAGTCCGAGTCCCAAGCCCTGCTCTTGGGTGCGCGGGGTCTTCCCAGGACCTGTCATCTCGCCCTGTGTCTGGCTTTCCCCTTCTCTGGCCAGGCTCTGCGTCTCAGTCGGTGCCTGTGTCTCTCTCTCGACCTCTGTCGCTTTTTCTCCGGGTCTCATGCCTTCTTTCGGTCTCTGTGATTTCGGTCTCTCGGTCTAGGTTTCTGCCGCGCGCTCCCGCCTGGTCTCTGTGGCTAGCGCGCCGTCCCGCTTTCTCTAGATCCAGCGATGCCCACGCGCGGCTGGCGGCTTGCTTCCCCGGACGCTGGCCGTCTACCTGCCGCCGCACGCGGGCATCGCCAAGCTGGGTCATCCGGCTTTGGCTTCTCTCAGTCAACACGCCGTGGACGCGGGACCAACCACCCAACCGCCTGGTGAGTGCGCCCTCCACCCCTTTGGCCTCCCTGCCGCACCGGGTTCCAGCGGACTTCATGTTCCAGGCGGCGCCAGCGCAGCCAGCCAGGCACGAAGTCCCCGGCTCCGCTGCGGGTGGCCCCGCAGGCCCCTGGGCAACCACCGCGCCTCCCGCGGCCGCGGGCCCACGGAGCGGGACGAGGTGCCTGGGGCTGGGGGCCGCGGAGAGGACAGGTCAGCGCGGCTTCCCCTTTAAGGCCGGAGCCGCTGTCGCCGTGAGTGTGAGGGTGTGTGAGTGTGCGGCGTGCGTGTCTCCTCCTCCCCGAGTGACACGGCCAGGAGAAATGCCTATCAGTAACTTAAACCCCGAAACTCCACCTTCCTGGCGCGCGGCGCGGAGCGGAGCGGCGGTGGGAATGCAGCAAGCTGACTGCGGCCCGGTTGCTGAGCCGCCGGCATGAACTTGGCCGCGAGCTG